ATTACAATCTCTTGCTTGTAGCAAGATCACCAGTGCTAGACAAGAGAAACTGTAGTCAAATCTTCATTATTTTAATTTGTCTTGCCATTTTTATATTATTTTTCACTAGAGAACTGTTGCAAGATTGTTTCTCCATCCATCCTGCTCTTGTATGATTACCATTGCCATCACTGTTTGTGCAGCAGTTCAGCCAGTAAAGGGTAAATAAGAACGTAACTCAGTAACAGTAGATGTCATTAGAATTCATAAAGGCAGAATCTCATTCGCAGACTCTTCATTATTATGATGACTTATTAGCTATAAATACTTTAATACAAGGCCATAGTAAAAATTTAAGCATTGGTAGAATAATTTGCACTAGTATTCGCATTTTTACACAGTGTACCTTGTCTGAGAGACAGTAAATAGGAAGTGCTTCTGAGTGCTCTCAGGGTAGAATGCTTCTGTGCAGCCCAGTTGTGCTCAATGGCCATAAGGAATGCTCACCTGCCCCCTTTTTCTTTCCAAAAGCACTCCTTTCGTGTTTCTTTTTCAGTGCTGTGAACTTCGGAGCCATCGGGGTCTTCATGGCACATGAACTCCTTCACACGTTCTATGGTTATGGTGGGTACTTCCTGTGGTGTCTTTGTTTATTCTTCTAGGTCCCCACTGGTACTTTCTCTCAGGGGATCTTAAATCCTGGCCCCTCTACGAATGTACACCTATACTATTAAGGTAGATGAAGCTAAGAAAAACCTACTACAGGCCATGCTGACTGCTAAGATGACTCAATGATTAATGTGAAGAATACAGGTGAATGCCAGAAAAACCTTTACTTTTTAGTATATTTTTTCTCCCACAGTGCTGCCTGGGGGCTGTCCTACATGCAACAGGGGTGCACTACAGAACTCTATAGACTGCTTGGTTGAACAGTATGAAAGCTATGGCTTTAAGGTCAATGGTACTTTTACACTGTTGGAGAATACAGCTGACACTGGAGGGCTTGCCATTGCTTACCAGGTATTGTGGGATACTTACCTCTCTAATCTCACAGTCTCACCACACAACTCAGCTGCTGTGTCTCAAGATTGTTATGCTGTTTTTATTAAGGCCATGGTCAGCAGCAGAATGAAGAGAGAGAGATACAAAATTACTAATTTATTAAATATATACTAGATTTATATATTTCACTGAGAGAAGACATGGGTTTGGGACACTATCTGAAGGGGGATTTAGTATTATTGATTTTCTCTCTCCACAGGCCTATAAGAATTGGCTGAAAAAGCACAAAGAAGAGAAGGATTTACCTGATATTGGACTTTCACATGACCAGCTTTTCTACCTCAGTTTTGCTCATGTAATGAATTTTAGGCTACTTGTGTCTCTCTCACTCTCTATTGTCTTTCACATTATTGCAGTTTGTCTTTCTCAATATTCAATCACTTTTTCCCCCTCCTCCCAGAACTGGGAATAACCAGTGTGTTCAAGAGAAAAGAAAACTAAAATTCACATATAGGACCCCATACCTGTTATGGATCTCAAAGCTAACAAAAGACCTGTCTGCAATTATATTTTTTCCAAAGCCCTAAAGTCTACAAAAATTAAGTTGTAGCAAGCAAGTTGTATCAGTGAAAGCATGCTTCACTGCCAGGTTCTAAGTACTTCTTTACTGTTGTGAGCGATCTTGAACATGGAAAGTGGAATTTTACTGGAAAAGTCACCTATGTCTCCATGCCTTCCTTCACTCACATCTCCGTCATGGTGAATAACTAGAGGTCATATCATTCTGAGTAACTGAGAATGAAAAAAAGGATTTTGAATGTTAATTAGAGGTAAAGAACTAGAAGTACATGCACGCATCATGGAAGATTTCTGTGGAAACCTGGCTTAATGATTTCTGCAAAGTTGTACCTTTGTCATGGTGCTGTTGATTTCCTCATAATAGATCACTGGATTTCTCTAGTCTGAAAAGTCACACTCTTACAAGTGACTGTAATTGTGTAAAGGAAAAGGTTTTGTGCATGTATTTACGTTAGGTCAGAGCAGTGGGTAGAAAAGCAGTTCTGAAATCACAGATTCCTGGGTCTTGGTGGCAAGTTTTGCATTTCAGAGGCTGTCTGACAGCTATTGCATCATTTGTCAATGAATAAAAACTGGAAACACAAAAGTGAAGACTTAGATTGCTAGTTGAATACTGGTAAAGTCACATAACCTTCCACCCAGTCTTTCAAATAGTAAAGGGATGTTGTCTAAGGATAAGCACTCATTGCTTTTGCTTAAGAATCTGTATCTAGACGCTAACACTACATCTACACCATTATTTTAGATGGAATTCAAGTCTGCATGAGCTTAGACACCAAGCTGGTCTAAATTCCCTGTGTTCTGTACTATGCAGCATAGAAAAGGAGCAGATAGCTAGTCAGATAGGGAAACAGGGACAGAGAGGCTTAGCGAAAGGGAAAAGAGTCAGAAAGCGTGGTGATGGAAGGAAAGACCTGAACATAGTTGGCATCCATGTGTGTTTCCTTGTTTACTCCAGCAGCCTCAGTCAAATGTACAGGGGCTTGAGGAGCCTAAAGTCTTGTTTCTATGAGGACTTTCAGTCAGATTGACTTCCCTGGTTTGCTTCCTTTCAGGCAATGTGTGGACACCAGGATCCTGAGAAATTACAGTCTTCCCTGAACACAGATCCACACAGTCCCCTGCCACTACGTGTCTGTGGGCCTGTCAGCAACAGCCAGGACTTTGCCAAGCACTTCCACTGTCCCAGTGGATCCCAAATGAACCCAGACAAGAAATGCCACATCTGGTGATCTGCATGGAAAAAGAGGAAGAGAGGTGTGACCACAGGGAGAGGAAGGCCTGACCTATAAAAGTATGACCATCTTCTCAGGGCCCCGAGGGTGATGCAGTGCTCTTACTCTCCTACCTACCTTTTCTTAGTACCTTTTTCTCAGCAGTTGATTGTAGCAAAATCATAAGAGCTCATAAGAGGGTCTTCTACTGCTCTCAACGCTGTCCCAGATGTGACAGCTCTAGAGTTTAGCAAGTCCTAAGGTAGCAAGATGACTACCTAGTAAACAACGATTTCTGAGTCATAAAAAGAAGGACTGTTACATTATTAGTCCCCCTGTTCAGTGCATTCCCTGCCTACTCCTGCAACCTCACAGTCATGTTGAATGGGCAGGGCAATAAGCTGGAGCTCTAAGACCTGTTCACGTAAGATATGCTGTTAGGGAAATCCTACAGGTTACTGTGTGTCGTGGTTTAAGACCAGCCGGTAACTCAGACACACGTGTGGCAAACCACACATGTAGGTTACCAGAGAGGGAAGAATCCTCTCCTCCTCTACTGCCAATAAATGGGTAAAGGAACTAGGAAAGACTCAAGGCTCTAGCTTCTAGGCTGAAAGATAAGTCACCTAATAATGAAGGTTGCTGAAGACTTTCCCAGTTCTCTGTTTCATCAGCAAAACTCCTAAGGGACAAAAGAGGGAAGAGGAAAGCATCCTCATTAGTGGGAGCAGGACTGGGAGCTGGGAAGAGTCTGACTTTCCTCTTTCTTTCTTCTCCAAAAAGATTCTTTTTATTTTAGTCTATATTTGGAGTTGAGGATGTGGTTGAGGGTGGAGGAACAGTCACAAGGGGTTTTAGAAGTCTCTGAAGACTGAACAACTGGAATTCCAAGAACTTCTCGGATCCTGAACCTGGTTCTCTCGTCCCTATATTTGCAAATATATAACATCCAAACAGAGGACTAGAGCTGCTGTAAGGTTTTACTTTCTATTTTAAATTTGATTTTATGTATTAAATGTATTAAAGAGCAAGAAGTACTATATTTTAGGGTAGCAGGAGACACTTGAAAGCACATTCTCAAGAGCAGCCTAATAATTGCATCAAGTTCAGGTTCTGAATTAGAAAATATAGATCAATGTTCTAGAATTTATCTAAGTTGTTAAATATACAAAACACAACTCCGTTATGCATGTTCTTCAGAGTGTTCTTGATTATGGGAGAATTGTGTTTTTACGTCTTATACTGGCTGCCTCGGGATTGTTTGTGGAAGAGGTGCAAGTGGAAATAGCCCTTTTCAATGTAAGCATTGTACAAATTCTTAAAATCCTAATTACTCCGTTGTCCTGTTCCAGTACTGACTAATGCGGGTAAATATTTTCCAAGAACGGACTTTTCAGAGATTTTGTTTTCATTAATTAACTAAAATGCTAGTAAAGAGTTTGCTTCAGTGACAAAAGTTGTTTGGATTGCAAACTCTTTATGACCAGACCTGTTTCTTTGTTCGGTATTTGCACTGTACCCAGCATGACTGAAGTTCATAGCTGAACCTCGCAAGTAATAAATAATAGTACCTAGAATTCATTTTATACATTTGCATCATAACAAATAACAAATTGGGCTTGTGCTTATTTTTACTCTTTAAACAGTGTATGCTCTTCCTCCACTCATTTGATGAATTTTGTCCTAGCAATATGTCCAGACTATCTCTTAGATTAATAGCAATTAACATTGTGCCAGAACTTGTGTGTAATATAGAAGTTATTTCAGTGTGCTGAGACTACTTAGCTTCTTTGTGGGGTCAGCAAAAGCTGTTGACAGTCTGCATTTTGAAGAGTCCTCAACTTTTCTTGTATCTATCTTGTGCATGACAGGGACAGGTCCCTCGAATATGCAGTTTTTTCTTGTTCTTACTATGTATGATGAATTTATTAATATTTTGTTTTAAAGACAAGGTCACTTTGAAGTTGGTGAGTTGGATCAATTCTTGTTTATTGCTATGATGCTTTTTACACAAAGAACATGTGGAAAGTGTAAGAAGAGATGTTTAGCTTACAAAAAAAAATGCATACACCTTGGACTGAGAATTTATTGTGTTTCTCAAGGAGAGAAGGAAACACTCTCAATAACTATGCAAGATCCCAGCCCATGTCTCAGTGTTGCAAGTTCCTTGGGATCTGATTGGTGAAGAGAAGCCATGCTGCCTAATAGCTGACCATAAAACACAGGTAGATGTTCAAACTGTTATCATCAATTATCATAGCAATTATTTCATGCTTTATGTAACACATTAAAAAAAGAACACAATGCTGCCAGTGCTCAGAGCAAGAGCCAGATCCAGCACCAGATCCTTCACTGCTGAATTCCTCAGTCCCTCTGAATCCTCGTGCTGCACCATGTCGATCACCTCCGTTCCTTCCCCTGTTGATGAGGCCACAAATGTTTCCTCCATTTTCTCCCAGTCTTTACCTAGGGGAGGTTAGGGACAAGATCAGCTCTCTTCTAGTTTTCTTTCTTCATACTTGGATATTTTCAACTCTGTTTCCCTTCCTGTTTTCTCTCCCTGCTTTCTAAACTTTCAACTCTGTTTTCTCCTTCATACTGAACAACTTTTCATTCATAACCCCCTTTCTTTTGTCCTTTTCTTTTTTCTATTCTTCCTCATTCAGTATATATTCTTCTATGCTCACTGTCCCCGTAGCATCCTCATGATTCTCAAGTGTGGTTTCGTGGTGTGTATGGATGTGAGCATGCAAATGTGGTCTAAACTTCTCTCTCTTTACCTTGCAGCAGGGTAGTGAGTGGTCATCCAGGAAGGTGAGACCATCATTGCTGTTTTACAAAGGTATAAAAGGAGCAAGACACTGGAAGAACTGGGGACTGGAATCTGGTTTCCTGTGGTTTGACACCTGCAGGATAGTTTCTTTTCCCACCACAATCTTTTCCTGTCCTCTTGTTACAAGTGTATCTTTTCTTCCACGGATTTTCTCTTTCCTCATTCCCTCATTCGAGTATTTGACCCATTTCCAGTGCTTCACCACCCTCACAGTAAAGAACTTCTTCCTTATATCTAAACTGAATTTCCCCTGTTTCAGTTTAAACCCATTACCCCTTGTCCTATCGCTACAGTCCCTAATGAAGAGTCCCTCGCCAGCATCCCTATAGGCCCCCTTCAGATACTGGAAGCTGCTCTGAGGTCTCCACACAGCTTCTCTTCTCCAGGCTGAACAGCCCCAACGTTCTCAGCCTGTCTTCACACAGGAGGTACTCCAGCCCCTGATCATCCTTGTGGCCTCCTCTGGACTTGTTCCAACATGTCCTTCTGTTGAGGACACCAGAACTGCACACAGTGCTACAAGTGTGGTCTCACAAGATCAGAGCAGAGGGGCAGGATCACCTCCTTTGACCTCCTCCTTAGGGGCCATCTGACCCCCACTGCCCCTTGACACACATCTTTCCAATCCTCTTATTTATTTTCTTTTTTTGCAAACCCAAGCTTCTGTGTCCATCCCCCATCTCATTTTCTGCTTTTTTTTTTTGCTTTCCAGGCCTCCTCTTTCTCATCCTCTCACTTCAACCTATCAACCTATCCTCTCACCTGCTGATGGACTGTTTTGCTCTTGCTGTTCATTTGTGGCTATACGAATCTTGATCTTGCTTTTCAGTGGTATGAAGGCATTAGAGAAGACTGGACAGTAAGTGGCTGGGAATATGCCCATCATATAGATGGTAAATCCCAGGAAAACTGTCAGGGTTAGTTTACCCGCCATCCAATTCTCCTGTCCAGCACAAGACACTTTTGACCTCCCTCCTTTTCAGCCAGTGGTGTTGTGATTTCTCTAGCAGCGGTCTCACCTGGCACACATTGTGACATCATTGGACTCGTCTTCCATACAAAGGTGTTAGGCAGAAACACTGTGGACTTTGCATCATGTGTAGCTAACAACATCCTAAAGCATGAAAGGAGTGTGAAAGCTGATGTGAATAATCACACAATCCTAAACATCTCCCCCATACAAGCAGTGCTCACAAGTAACCGACTGAAACTGGACAAGAAATGTCCAGTTAAAAGACTGGTGCAACTAGAGGGGAAAGAAAAGTGTAATGACTTTTCCACTTTGGTGCTTAACCAATTAGTGTTTTGAACTGCCTTTGTGAATAGAAATAAGTTTAAAAACCAAAAACCAGTAGAATGACAAGCATGTGTTTTAAAATGTCCTCTAGATGGTGATCTAACATCAGTGCAGAAACAGTTTACCTTACAAAGCACCTATTTCTACTGGGGGAGAAGGAGGGAGGGAAGGGAATCTCATGGCGTTTAAACCCTTGACATTCCCTGTGTCAATTTGCTTTAATTTGAGTCTATGTCCAGACTACATTTTAAGACTCCAATGATGACTTTCCACCATGTAACCTGGGAGACAATTTTCTACCTATTTTCAAACTCACATTTAAGCCCAACTGTCATCTGCTGTGCCAAATATCTTCCATACTTCCTGAATTTATACACAGTTTCATGTTCCCGATGGTTTTCCCTTTTCGTTTTTTTCCCCTTTTCTACCATTAATAATAGTGGTTTTATTCAAGATCCTCCCTTTTTTTTTCCTGAGTTGCCCAAAAACCTGTCTGGAATTTAGGCAAGTCAGGAATTTAGCTTGTCAAATCACAATGACAATTATTTCAGGCCTATGAAAGTCACTACAGAAGTAAGCACACACAAGGGTATGTACACTGATTTGAAGACACTGAGATTTCTACATCAGATGGTGGTCTTGGGTCAGTTGGCTTGCTATCCAAAACATTAAAGGGTTTCTTGTATACTGTCTCCTACTAAATACTATGTATCAGGAATGAGATCAATATACTGGGTATCAGTAACTATATACACTGACACAGGAGAAGGATTAAAGCTTCAGCAGATCTGAAGATGGAGAACATCGGACAGAGTAAGAGAGACTTGGACTGGAATGTGGAACTTTCAGTCCTGCAGGGTGTCTAGTAAAGCAACTTCCCCGGACAAGTTCCCTACAGAGATCTCTGGATCTAAAGGAATCTGTATCCAATTCAGTGTAGGATTGTATATCAAAGGTGTTCTGCATTCCTCACAGGGAGTGTGGAATACTTTCAAGTCCTCACCTGCACCTCTGAAATTCTTTATTTAACCAAAGTAGGTAAGTAAATAGATGCCAGATGTGGAAACTCATACTACTGCTGAGGTCATGGTAGTATGTTCATTCTGGAATAAGTCCAGAGTACTGCCTCAGCAAGGGATCCTGTCACAGGAGACTTATTCCTACATCTTTTCCTGTACTGACAGCAATGTTGGTCTGGCTCAGTTAATGAGGTATACCACACAAAAACCATTTTAAATGCAGGTTTTACTGGGTCACTTTTCTAACAGGTGAGTTTTGGATCCAGTTAACTGTGCTCTCACATAAAGGTTAGTCCGCAGCTAGGCAGTAGAAACAAATGATTGGGATGGGATAGAGGAAGGCTAGACTGCCCTTTACTGAGTGCTGAACACTACAAATTCAATAGAAGCTTTATAAAGGTTTTACAATGCCTTATGAAGAGACACAGTGAGTATGCAGCCCTTGCTTGAGTTCAGAGAGTTCTGCTTCTTTTTTATCCTTGGTTCATGGTTATATATGTTCACCAGCAAAGAATATGTGTAGTGGAAATAGGAAATGGATGTACTAAGATGAAATGTGAAATGGGAAAGGTTTAAGCCAATAGAAGTGCTGCTTAAACGCAACTCAAAAAATCAAACTGCAAAATTGTTTAAAAAAAAAAAAAAAGAAAGAAAACAGATGGAGAACAGAACCAGACTGTCTACCAAATAGGCTTTTACTCAGCAGTAGCATATTCAGTTGAGCATCTCAGACATTGTATTGTGCATTTCTCTGGGTGTTCCCTGTTACAGTGTTTTGTGTGTGGGTACAAGCATGTATCCATTCAGTACAAGAAAAATAGAGCAAAAAGGGTTGAAAGAATTAAATGACTATTGACTTTTTTCTACTTCATCTCTATTCCCAGAAATAAATTGCACCTTTTTAGCACTGCCACCACATGTGGAAGCAAAGATTGCTCTACACCATAGAAATATACCTTTAATAAATGAATTAAACTGATTTGTTTAAAACGTTTTTGGATATTGTGCCTAAATTGGACATATCTTGAATTGAGTCTGATGTGTTTGCAGACTTAGTAGGTTAACACCACTTCCTGCATCACTTCCACTTTGAAGAAGACTGACTTCCATTCAAAAAATCTTACCCTACATGGCCTTATCCTTTGCTAGAATCCTCATGGTTGTGTCTGCTTATGGTCACACTGGTTGCACTGGACAACAGATTCCTTCCTAAGGCTGTGTTTTCCTAACCAGACCAAGAGATACAGATGTATTTCTGTAGCCAGTAAAGTGCAGGCTGCAGGACTGCCCTGGGACACCTCTGAAATAGAGGCTTCAAAGTAGAAAAGAACAATGGATATGGATGCTTCTGTCCATACAGTGGATTTAGAGCAGTGGGGAATGAGCAGCCTATGAGACAGATGAGTACATTGAAACAGTTGGATAGACTAGAGTCATAGAATCACAGAATTGATAGGGTTGAAAGGGAGGTCTGGATATCATCCAGTCCAACCCCCTGCCAAGGCAGGTTACACAGGAACATGTCCAGGCGGGTTTTGAATGTCTCCAGAGAGGGAGACTCCATAATCCCATGGGCAGCTTGTGCCAGGGCTCTACCATCCTCTGTGTAAAGTTCTTCCTCATGTTGAGGTGATACTTCTTGTGTTTTAGCTCATGGCCATTGCTCCTTGTCCTGTCGCTGGGCAGTGCTGAAAAGAGTGTGGCACCAACCTCCTGGCACCTGCCTTTGAGGTACTGATCTGCATTGATGAGACTGCCTCTCAGTCTTCTCCAGACTAAACAGATCCATCTCCTACAATCTCTCCTCTCATGAGAGATGCTCCAGACCCCCCATTCATAGCAGTAATTTATCTTGCCAGGGATTTTGACTCAATATTTCATGTTTTCTTCCATTAGCTACTTCTGAAACATAACACAATGTGAGGTGTAAAGACAATGAAAATACCCAAGCCAGTACAGCACACTGGCCACCGCTCTCAGATTGGGCTGGGGGAGGGGGATAAGACTAGTTAATGGGAGAAACCTCATCAGGTTGAAAGAGCTGGTGCATGAAATGTAGTAAAGCAGCTCTCCGGTCCAGTGAAGCTCAGGACAATTGGCAGCACCAGGAAGGTTATCACTGTCTGTATCAGATGACTCTCCTATGTGAGGTCAAAACCCCATTGGATTTGTAATAAGGAGGTGGAGGAGGCTGTAAAGTCATTCCCAAGATGGAGCAGTGAGGGCCTTGAGGCAAAAAGGAGCCAATGGAGGGAAGAAAGGAAATGGTCTGAAAGATCATAATCAGTGAATTTCTGCATCCTACCCCAAGGCTCTATTCCTCAGAGAACAGGACAGTGCCCTGCAGCTAAAGGCACACCCACTGGCTGATTTTGATGCCAGGATCAGAAAACTGATAGAGATGGAGAACTTCGGATGCTCCAGTCTGTAACGGGGAACTCCAGAAAATGACTGAAAGCAGATCCCCTTAGAAATGCCCAGAACTACAACAGCCAGGGCATAGGTATGGGGAAAATGGCACAAGCAGATCTGTGAGGAGACCCCGGAACAAAAATAAATGCAGGGCAGGACAGAGAATTGGCAGAGGCTTTTTTGGACCATAGGGTGGGAAGGATGGGGCAGCTGCAAGGTAGGAATAATGGATGCTGGAAGTTCTGGGTTTGAGATAATGGATTGCTGCAGCTTAAGCCAAAGATGATATAGAGTGGAATTGTGTGGTGGAGTGCCTGCAGACAGTTCTGTATTATGGCTGCTGATCTGGTGTTGCAGGGAGTCCAAAAGTGCACTGCAAATTCTGAGGAACTCATTTCCCCCTGGCAGACAGTTCTTTTTATTTGTCTGTCATGGTCATTATCAGAAGGTAACCAGTCTGTTGGGATGTGGTTTTTGTTACTGTCACATGCATGACACAGGAAGGCATGCACTCTGCTTTCTCATGCAGAATTCACAGCTTCTAAGCCCTACATGGAAAACTTGGGTGAAAAAGAGCAGTGTTTGGAAAAATGTGGCTATTTTCAGTCACTAATATTGGATCCTGAAAATGGAAATGTCTTGCTTCTTCAAACAGCAGATACCAGCAGTCAGGTTGTATCGTCCCATTCAAGAGATGAAGATAATATCCTTGCCCCAAAGGTTTCATCTATCTCACCATGACACAAGAACAACAAACTAAAAGCTCCTGAGCTGGGAGTGATGGTAACAGTGGCTGATGACTTTCTTTTTAAGCGTGAATTGGATTTATCCTGCGGTCTGGGCTGTATTGTCACTTTCTTCTCTCATTCTCTCTTTGTGCCACGTGCTGGGTGTGTTTTCATCTGCTCTTGTCCTGTTTGCTAATAATTATTTAAAATAATAACAGTGGAAGCATATGCAACATACATAGCGTGATCAAGCCTGTATTAAACCTAGCCTTCTTTAACAGCGACTCACGCCTCCAGGAGGCAATCGCTCTCAAGCATCTCGAACAGCTGGATTAGGACAGAATAAATTGCTTTCTACATTAACTCAGACTTAACGAAATCTTAAATACCTAGATTTAAGTGGGACAAGCGCCCCTGCTTGAAATTCTGAAGAAAGGGAATGCAGATAACAAAGGAAGTTCACCGCTGGGAGCTCCTAAATCAGACCATTCCACCCCCTGTCGGGCCTCTGCTTTAAAATGCATGAAGAACCTG